TAAAATGGAGTTTTCCGGGCAATGAAGCTTCTATGGAATCGCAGCGAAATCTGCTATCTAGTGTAATGTGCATTATCAATGAGATTAGAGGAAACTTGGAAGCGATCTGTCTTTGACTGATTATGTCTAAGCGATATTTTCCTGTCGAATGGATATAACTCATAGGATGCCATCCATCTTTGTTCAAACGCCATCTATATAGAGCTGTTTGGCCACGTTCACCGGTGCTCATTCGAGAATTAACATCTTACTGCCTTTTAAAGCCTGTGATAGCCGAGCAAGTATATGAGTTCAGAAGAGATTTCGAATTAATTGGCACAATATTCGTGATAAAAAAAATTACGAATAGCCAAAATCGTTTTTCTGGTTTCTTGAATTTGACATTTAATCTTGCATAAACTCGCACCAATGAATAAATATCAAAGTTCGGTTGTTAAATTCTTGTTCAGTCCTACTCGTCCTCTCATAACATTGTGCTGAAGGCTTACTGAAACCCTTCTGGCGCCTTTACTGATTTTCAAATACATTTATAATGGCGATTCTTTTTTTTGAATGAAAAAAATTAAAAACTTTTACATATTTACAATTTGCAATTTTTTCACAATTAAATGCAAAACCATTTATTTCAATAAATAAAGGAAATAATTCGATAGATGAAAATCCGAATGAATTATTAAATTATAAGAAAATGAAAATGCGAGAATAAAATAAAATCTGATTGGAAAAGAATGGGAAAAAAGAAAATTCACAATTCACAATTAAGAATGTTTTAAAAAAGAAAGCCTTAAACAGTATTTTATCTTCGAACAGCCCTATGAATGATAATTTCATAAATTACGGTTTCTCTTGTAAGGTTTCTTTTTTATTTTGTACAATCCTTTTTCATCTCAAAATTGGATTGGCTAAGACTATCGGTCCACAGATTATTATCGATCAAATCAATTCATTACACAAATCTTATAATTTGGTTATATTTCAAAAAAATTTATTTCGAATCTACCAAATGCTTCAAAATATCGAATGTTTTAAAAGTAGCAAAATTCCAAATTTATTTCGCTTATTTAAAATCATTTTTAAACTATTATTAGCAAAAAAAATTTCATATTTTCTTTTTTTTTGTTTCTTTAAGAACTTTTCATCTATGCTTATCGATCAGCACTTCTTAACACTCGAAAGACGGAAAAATTCGAATAAAATTGAGTAAATTGTGAAAATATGAAAAAAAATAGATTGGCAAAAATTAAGCGAGAATTCTTTACGAAAACTTTGGAAAACCTTCAATATTTCTAAATACATCGCTTCATCTTCAAAATTCATCTTTATTTAAACAAAGTTTTATAATTTTAAGATTGACTGAAACTACTTGTTCACAAATTTCATTGAAACTTAATAACGGCTTTCGTTTTTCTCAAAATATTTTTATTCAGGATATTAATAAGGGAATTTCTATATTCAAAACATAATTCCATACTATATATGGCTGTGCACCTTTCTGATGCTTCTGACAGCTACGATCCCAGCACACGTATAAAGAGGTTGAGGGTTGTCATTTTTCCAAAACATGAAAATTTACTCCACCGTTTTCATTAAATTTATTTGCACATTTTCGTTCACAGGGTGCTGATTTGGTTCGCCTGATTTACCGTACCAGACAGATTGTTTTATTTCGTATCGTATTGCTATAGAATAGTAAGTGAGTCGCTAGACCAAAGTATTTTTCTTTTTGAAGAAAAATTTACTCGTGTACCGCATAGAATTAAAAAATTGGCGCTCCGAAATGTTATTGTAATTTAATAAAATGTAACTGTAATATAAATGCAATTTAATAAAAAAAACGATAGTAAATAAGCAATTCCAACCGTTTTTGCTTTAGCCTTTCAGCGCTGCTGCCGCCCGACGAGCCACTGGCAGATTTTAAGTCGAGCCATTCTCGATAGAAATTTGGCAGCATTCTGCCACTAAGCTACCGATACACTTAAATAAAATTATAGCTTTGCAAGACACGCTTGCATTTTTTTATGAGTTTCTTATAAAACTTTTCATCAATACTTATCGACCTGCGATTCTTAATACTCGAAAAACGGAAAAATTCGAATAAAAATGAGTAAATTGTGAATGAATTAGAAAATATGAGAAAAAATAGCTTGGCAAAAAGATATTAGGCGAGAATTCATTATAAAAACTTTGGAAAACCTTCAGTATTTCTGAATACATCGCTTTATCTTCAAAATTCATCTTTATTTAAACAAGATTTTATAATTTTAAGATTGACTGAAACTAGTTATTTTAGCTAATTTCGTTGAAACTTAATAACAGCTTTCATTTTCTTCTAACATATTTTTATTCAGGACATTAGTGAGAGAATTTCTATATTTAAAACATAATTCCATACTATATATGTCTGTGCACCTTGGAAAAGCAATTTCGCTATTTTGTCGATTTCGCTATTTTGTCGATTTAAGAATTCATTTTAAGAAAATTCGTTCCTCGGTTTTTTTTGTCATTTCGCTCTATTGTGATTAGGGTAACTCTCATCGCTTTACTTCAGAACTTGTAGTTTTTAGCAAAACGAATTTTTATAATTTTGTGATTGACTAAAATTGCTTATGCAAATTTCCTTAAAACTTAATAATTGCTTTCTTTTTAACATTTTTTTATTTTCTTACTAAGTGTAGTCTTAAAACTTTATTAAAATATTGTTTACGAATATTTAGTAGTAAATAAATTTTTGCTACTCCTAAATTAGTCATTTTTGAATTCATATTTGGCATCCCATATACTTTTTTGTCCCACGAGTATTCTAGTAATTTTCATGGATTGAAGGTCTCTTTAGTCTTTTACAATATTTTAAACTAATTGCAATCGTTTGATAAAAAACTGTGAAAATATGGAAATAAAATTTCAAAAAATCAAGAGAATAGGCAATGTGGAAAACCATAAATTTCGACTTTCAACATAATTCTCATCGAAAATAATCCGAAACTATATTGCAATAGAAAGATTTATGATCAGTGATTATTACTCAATAATTATTATGTAACAAAACCATAATTTAATTCAAAATAGTCAAATCGCTGCGATAATATTCCAGAAAACAGTTAAAGAAACATATTTTCGTATTTAATATAGAAAACAAGTAGATTGTATTAGCAACAGATCAAACATTAGCCATTTGGTATTGTTAGCATTTCGCTTGGAAAGATGCCTACAAAGAATCGCTGCAAAACAAAGCGCTACCATTCCCGGGTCAGGCAAATTTTGCAACAAAAGGACAGAAATATAAGTGAATCGGCATTAACACAGTTAAATACATATATCAGACATATCAGACATATCAGACATTTTTTTTGAATGAGAAGAACACCAGAATCTTAGGAAATTATGAATGAAATATGAAAATTAGAAATTTATAAAAAAGATTAATAAAAAGATTTATTTTTAAAATATTCTGTTAAAATAACTGCCAATTTATAGGAATGCAATGGCAAATCAACCAAAGTACTTTGAAAATTATTTCAAAAATCAAATTTTTTCAACAGTTCTTTTAATGAAAATTCATTGATCGAGCATTATAGTATTAAAATTGCCACGTTTTAATTCAGATTTGTCAATCATCGTAATTTTTTTATGAGAAAATATAGACAAATGAATATTCTATTTCTATAATTTATGGAATACGAAAAGCTACCACGCGTAATTACCACAGTTCGCAACAGAAATATTTACTGAATGAAATTGTGACAGAATATCTCACGAAATTTTTATTTTCATTAAAGATTTTCATGCACTGAAGAATTTTAATAAAATTTTATATAGGAAATTGAATTTCAAAATAAATCTCTTTGCTGATAAATTCTTCAGAACTAAATTAATTTCTTTCCTACAATCCAACTCGTATCGTTGCCAATAAAATAATAAAATTAAAATGGATGAAAAAATTTAGAAATATGAAACTTTAATAAATTTCGGCATTAAAAATTTGAAATTCAATGATGTTGAAAGAAATTTAGTTTATTTTTTAATTCCTTATTCTAATTCTCCCCACTTTTTTTAAAATTATTTAAAATCATTTTTAAAATTTTAAAATTTTGTAAAGTTTCGGGTTTGTACGAAAATTAAGATTGCGAATGCCAAATTTTATATATTTCGAAGCATATCTACGAATATTTTATGAAATATACATCAAAAATTGTCCATGTGATTGCAATTTATTTTTGGGTGGAATTAATTAAAAATTCAGTATAAAATTAAAATAGCACATCAGTCATTCTTAGTTACCCTCAATAAAAATTTAAAATTCAGTTACCCTCTTTCAATACTTCAATATGATTATTCGCACTGTTGCTCTGGTATAATTTTTTTTTAAAAGTTTTTTAATATATAACATTATTGTAAAAAAAAAGAAAGGACTAACATGATTTATGTTTAGCATGATTTATTTACTGTTTAACGAAAGCTTTCGGTTATCTAAGTTTTTTTAAAAAATTAAGAAACAATTGTGACAGTCATCCTCACTTTTGCATATTCTTACGCCTTAATGGAACTTCAATCATCACTTTAGGCCCTTTTATGTTGTATTGGGCAATCATGCGCACAAATTTACGATCGACTTTGCATGCAGACTGGTCGCAAATGTGGTCATAACATGGTCTACAGAACTGTTGACCGATTAAAATACACTGACGACGTACCATCTGAACTGATATGCATTCAGGAATGCGCATGTATCAGTGAACAGTACGAAAAAAGAGATGGACAATGCGTTGAAAAAAATAATATTCCGACGGGAAACGAAGTGAGATTTTTGTTACTTTGAACTCTTTGCCACAGTATACTAAAATACAGTCCAGTTTTCTTGGTGATTTTATAATCAACAATTGGTATTGGATTATTATTGTCTGGGTGCATTAAAATGTGGAAGTTCATTCCGATAAAGCGGCGAATATCAATTTCCGTAGTGAAAAGCATCAAACACTTTGTGATAACAAAAGTAATTTTTTAACCATTTTTAGTTTATGGTTGAAAATCTATTTAAAAAAATTGAAAGAGCGACACATACTTCAACTCAACGATTTATCACCAAGGAATTTTCCGCTCAAATAACTACCCAAAAGGTGAAGTTTTTACAATTCTCATAACAGTAGGAGTTTAAGAAATTTCTTCAGCAGTGTATCGCGATCGGATGAGGTTGACATTAACAAAAAATTCATCGAAAATGGGTTTTCATTAGGAGTTCAGTACATCAACAGCCATTCAATAAAGCAATTTTAGCTTTGTGTGATTTTATGTTAGAAAATAGTGCATGCAACAAAACTAACCATTTTACATTCAGATGGATTAGAATGAATTCTCTGAGGCATAAAATGCAAAACAGTTATCATTTGAGGAATTTTTCTGCAGGCTACGCTTATTGAGGCTATACTATGTATAGAGGCTTTTATTTAAGAGTCCTCACCACTACTGGTTAAACTCGCTCTACTGGCCTGTCGCATTGGGCGATATATGAGAGAGTTCCTTGGCGATCGAAAACTTGTGATCGCCAGCATCACTCGGATTTTTGTGCAGGTTTACTCCTTCAGGAAATCGAACCTCTTCTTCTTCCTCTAACAGCTCTCACCATTGCTGGTTAGGCTGGTAAGAGTGGATCCAAGGTATTTAAAATCCAGCACTTCCACTTCCGCAATTGATAAAAATAGGTATTTTTATCAGTATCTTGTATTTAAAACGAAAATACTTTCGTTTTATTTATATCGATTTTGAGGAATCCAACCCCTTAGCATCGGACGTATAGAGGCTAGTGTTGGTTGTATGAATTTTAGAAGAAAACGGTAGAAATTGATAAGTCGATCCTAATCCGTACAAACCAACAAACATTCTTTTTTCTGTTTCCAACTATGGCATTTCTATCGCCCATTGTTAGCAACTACTTTATGTTTATGCTGTCGATTTCGATTTGAACTTGGTTCTTCCATCTTTTAGAACTATAATAACAATGTTTCTTCTTAGGTTTTTTATCATAAACAATAAATTACACTCGATTCCAACCCATTACAATTCTTTGATGCCAAAGATGCCAATTTGTAGCCATTTACCACCGAGCTCAACCGTCCTGAGTCTAAGCTTCTAATGTTCCATGCACTCATTATAAATCTTTCTTTGCAGCCTTGCTCTTTTTTCCCTATATGACAATACCAGTTCCATAGTTTTTGAAGGAAATATTCCTTCTATTAAAAAAAAATTAAAAAAATGTAAATTAAACGTTTGAAAAAATAAAAATTTATTGGCGAAGCTGTGGAAGATTCAGTCAGAAAAAATTAGAGTATTATTTCAATTAATTTTCAGACCCCTGCTGAAGTGCCAACACCAAAGGTTTGCAGTGGAAGAATCTGTAGACTTGACGAAATAATCACTGATACTCTGTGCTCATTGACAGACCAGAAATGTGGACCAA